CCCACTGGGTGACCTTGGGGAAGTCACATTCTCTCAGCCTCAGAGGAAAGCCAAGGCAAACTCCCTCTGAACAAATCTTGCCAAGAAAACCCAGAGATAGAGCCTTACAGTTGCCATACATCCAAAACAACTTGAAGGCACCAAACAACAAAACGGATCAGAGGAGATCAGGTGACTATACTTCAGAAGATAAGAACAGCCATGCTGGATCAGGATGAAGGACAATCTGGTCCAACATTCCCTACACACATTTATCCAGCCAGGTCTCTACAGAAAACCTGGCAGCAGGACATGAGTGCAATTACACCCTCCACCTTGCAATCCCTGGCAACTGATGCACAAAGACAGACTGCTTCTGCTACCAAACTACTGCCCTGACTAGCAATCACTGATGGCTGGAGTCCAACTTGACATCTATGATTTTAAGTCCTAAGCAGTTTAAAGAGGTCTTGAACCTTATGGAGTGGATGACCCTGAATCCAAACATTACAAGTAAGAAGGAGGAAATCTTCTCCCCAATCATCCCTATCTCCAGAACAAACCAGAGGTAGATGAAAGGCCCTCCATCCATTCCAACTGTCATTGTCCTAGCCAGCAGCGCCCCTGGCTCCGGTGTCCCCTGGTGTGTTTGGGGGTGGGGCTTCAGAGGCGGAAGGGCGGAGCTTCACCAAGGAGGTGTGGGGCACTCAAAACAAGTGTGCACCCACACGCTTGCCCCTCCCTGCCATGGCCCCCATCCTTGCTGCTGTCTCTTTCTCCTCAGGGGAGAAGGAGGCAGCGGCAAGGAGAGAAGAGAAGTGTGTGCCTCCCGGCAGTCCTTAGCGCCACCCCCTTGTTCCTGAGGAGAAAAGGACAGTGGCAAGGATGGCCAGGGAGTTGCGTGCTTCTCCCGGCTCCTTGCTGCTGCTGCCGCCTCCTCAAGGGAGAAAGAGAAAGCGGCAAGGATGGCCAGGGAGCACGCATGTGCCTCCCAGCAGTCCTTAGCACTAGCAAGGACTGAGAGAAGCACACGTGCTCCTCGGCAGTCCTTGCTGCTGTCCCTTTCTCACCTGAGGAGGAGGAGGAGGCAGTGGCAAGGAGCCTCCA